TGAAGAGATGAGTAACTCCTTCCTTCTCAGGCCCAGTCCCAAGGCGCAAGGCCACTTGCGCCAGCAGCGTACGTCAGCAACATGACAGAAGTAGGAAGAGAGCCAGCCAGAAGACACCTACCCTGGCCAGAAGACATGTACCCCATGAAGATTGAGAGGGAGGCCGTCTGGGTACCACGTAGCAGTTACATCAGACTGAGACACTTCTTGTTTACAGGAGACTATAAAACCCCTGCTCCGTCCTCATTTGGTGCTGATGCCATTTTAGGCCTCAGCTCACCTGCACCCAGGCGCTCATTAAAACAGCATGTTGCTCCATACCACCTCGTGTTGTCTGTTGGCGTGCTCTCTGGGTTTGAACTGATACAAGAACCTTTCATAAACTTTACCTTAAGTATTACAGTCTAAAAGCCATACCATTCCTCAGGCCCAAAGCTGAATCCTCCCAGCATTGTTTCTCCCTCCTCACTTGTGATTCCATCTAATCAGTCTAGAGACTGTCCCATTCCCTAGTCCTCCTTCCTACAGATTCTCTCTCTCCAAAGTCTCCCTACCTGTCCCCTCCTCACCACTCTCTCAGGCCCAAAATAAGGCCTCATCCCTTCCACCCTGAATCAGCCTCCCAGTTTCCTATCCAACCTCACCGCCCCCACTGTCTTTTCCCTTGGACTTTGCTTCCCACCACACTGCCAGAACTTTGCCGTTGCAGCAGTGGCCTTCGGATTTGTCAACAGAATCACCTGGGGGAACTTGGTAAAAACATCCCAGAGTACTTAATCTGGACATTTTACAAAACTCCCCAGATTATGAGGCAGTTTGCAAACTGCTACTCTAAATTCTTGCTATACATAGGGAAATGATCAGCAAGCTCCTGGGAATCTGTTCTGGGAATCCGTCGCAGAATGTCGGGTCCCACCCATGACCTATGGAATTGTAATTTGCATTTGAACAAGATGCCTGCATGATTCTCAAACTTGTTAAAGTTTGAGAAGCTCTGCTCTACAGTGTTGTCACATCATGCACTCCACAAATATTTACTGGATTTTCTCTGTATCAGGCTAGGAATTGGGAGGGTTAAGGACCAAGGTCTTTGACTTTGAGAAGTTCACAGAACCATCAGTCAGTCCCCTGCTGTGCCTTCAGACCAAGTCCAGACTTCTGCACTGGACAGCTGGCACCATTTTCCAGCCTTATCACCAGTCCTACTGTCTAGCACTCAACATAAGAGCCAAGCTGGACCACTGACCATTTCTCATGGTGAGTCCATGCCTGCCTGCCCACACAGTTGTCACAGGCCAGGCCACACTCTACCCTTTTCTGCCTTGAAAAACCCAGGAGGGATCCTTTGAGGTCCATCACATCACCCTTTCTTAAAATTATCCCAGATTTCCCACTCAGATGAAAGACAGGAATTCCCATAACTTTGTTCCTACCGTCTTCATGTCATTGATCTCATTCCACTTAATCTTAAAGTCAAAGCGCATCTCCTTTAGCTACCCAGTAAAGAAGGCATCATGATGGTAAGCAGCTTGTCTCTCCAGTAGCAATAAGCTAACAACTGTCACATCACCAAATCTTAAAATAGTATTACTAATAATTGAAATACGTTAAATAAAACACGGATATATGCAATCAGTGAAAACCTCATCAATCATCCCCATCTCCCACTTCAATGTTATTTAGATATTAATTTAAGCAAAGTGCAAATGGGTTGCCTCTTTTAAGCCAAAGAGAGAAATAATTTCTAAATTAGATAACACTTAGAGTTTTCCATACACCTATAATAATGAAAGACTGAATATGCTGAAGATGAATTATGTCTAAAGCCCACTACTTTTCTGTAGTTGACCATTTAACTTCACATAATACACTATAAAATTTGAAAAAAACTTCAGATTTGTATTAGAATCAATTAAGAAGGGGTTGAGAAAGGAGAGAGATGAAGAGAAAGACAGGAAGTAGACCAAAATATAGAAAAAGGAGACGGATCTATACCAATTATCCGGTTGCTCTAAAAGTAAAAATATAATTAGATTCGTTTTTTAAGAAGATTAAACTCTGGCAAAAATGTCTGTCTTAATCCTACCCAAATGCTGGAAGTTCTGTTCTCTAGTTATATAATCTTATTTTCATCCGAAGAAAATCTGCGGGTCTTAAGTCTGATGTGATGAGGTGAAGAGGAGCCCACTTTTAAATAGGACCGTCTCCATCCTGCAATCTACGGGGAGGCAGTGGTTTTAGATTTTGAAAAGCGTGCTGTATTTTTGCACTTACACTACAGAACTGGCTTTAGCCGAGACGCTGCATCTAGACACACGCTGTGTCCAACAGAGAATTGCCTGGGCTGGACAGACCTAAAGCTTCCGCAACCTCCTTAGGCTCCCTAGTCCACGCAGCTGCTCCCCGGGCTGAGCAGGGCTGAGACGCGCCGCACAGAACTCAGGGACCCCACCTCCCTGCGCATCTCCAGGGCCACGCTGGCACCTGCAGGAGTGCGGACTGTCCGCTGATCCCAGGCAGGGTGGGGTGGAGATTCGCAGCCAACCCACAGGAGTTCTGCCCTCCTCCCAGGCTTCTGGCCAGTGGAGTTGCAGAAGGCTCCCCGTCCTGGAGCCTGGGACACGCTCCGGGGTTCACGGAGACACTGACCCACACGCCCCCGTGGTTCGTAGCTCTGGGGGCGCTCCACTCCCCAGGCAATGCTCCCAACGGGGATCCCAACCCCGACCGCGCGGCGAGCCCGGGGTGTGGGGAAAGCCCACTGACCTGGGTGCGGGGCCGCGGCTCCTCTCCGGGCGGCTCAGGTGTGCTGGCCGCTCCCGTGTCCCTCCCACCTTCAAACATGAGAGCCCAGAAGCGAGCGACAAGCCACTGGCCCACCGACCAACTGCCGGACCAAGCGCCCGACCAACCAGCGGACCGACCGCAGCGGACGGGGCCGGCGCCCACGTGACGGGGCGGGGACCTGAGGGAGGCTCTTCCTGGAGGGCCGCGCCCCCACCCCGGGACCTGCCACGGGGACCACCCTCTCGGGCACCCGCTCCCTCTCGGGCACCGAGGAAGCCTGCTGGGACCCGTCCGCCAGAGTTCCTGTTCCCCGGGGACCGGCCTGGTCAGCCCCGCCCCTTCGAACCTGCCTAGTCCCCACCCTCTGGGCCGCGAGTCCCGGCACCAGCCCCGAGTCTCTCGGCGGACCGCGCCCCCTCCCGGGAGCCCCGCCCCGCCCCGCCCCGCCCCGCCAGCCGCACCTCCTCCTCCGCACAGCTCCGGTTGCTGGGAGGCCCGGGTGGGTCCCCAGCGCTCTGGCTGCCAGTATCCTGGGCTTTTCCAGCCCTTCAGCGCCGTTCTCCGGTCACAGGGAATGAAAGCGAGGAAGAAGGAAACTGTGTCGAGAATTGCGAAGGGAGAAAGCATAGAAAACCCACATTAGAGGCACACCCAGAGCAGCAACCCTTCGAAGCATCCCGACTTCCTCAGGCCGCATGGGATCCCAGCAAAACTGAGGTGGTCTCTGAGCCGTCCTCCCTAAGCAGGTCGGAAAGCCCCGAATCACCCCAGGTCCCACCGCGCTCCACTCGCGACTTGGGGTGGTGGAGGTCCCTCTAGTGGTTGGCACCGAACAAAAGTTCTGTCTTGCGAAGAGCCGAGGTCAGGAAGCATTTCCCTGTGCCCAGCACCAAGGATCTGGGACCTTAGGTCCAAGGAAAGCGTTGGCAATGTCTGACCACAGGAATGGGTTCTCGAACTGGGGAGGACTGAACGCTGGAGACCTGGTCCAACCCCTACCTCCAGTGTGTGGCCTGAACCCGTTTTGGTTGTACTGCTAGGCTATGGCCCTGCCCAGGCCTCCAAGGACTGGCTGCTGTTAAGCTGTTTAAAATCCCTGTAGGCCTCAGATGGCAGCGACACCAGGGACTCTGGCATAGTCCCCAGCTCTGGCAGGAGTCACCACAGCTCTGGCCTTTAGTTCTCTACAGGCTGGAGTGTCAACAAACTCCACAGGATACAACTTTTTCGAACCAAATTTACCCTCGCGGTCTGAAGTGACCAGTGGGTCCAGGAGACTTTTACATGTGAACAGAACCTAAGCCACCCTGGCAAATATGAGACGTGTGGTCACTGCAGGAACCTGGCCAGCAGCAGACCAAAGCACAGCCAGCAGGGGAAGGCTGGGGCTCGCAAGAGTTGTGTTACAACAGGACACCCTTCAGTTCTCTTTCACTTCCTTAAAATAGCAGCAGAGAGGCTTTTGTAGACGGAGGCTGCCGCAGTTCACAAGAGTTCGTGGCTGTTTCCAAACCCCACACTTTATTGCCCTAGTGGACCCACTCCCTTATCTCAGCCCGCAGAAACTGCTAGTCTGTTCTTAAAACGATACAATTACCTTTTTAAATGTTCTAAGTCACCGGCTCTGGAGCTTCTTTGCACTTCGGAACCACATTGCGGGAAGGGACTCTAAAAATACTGATGTCTTGATTCATCCCCAGAGGTTATGATTTAGTGGTCTTGGGGGTATGGCCATGGCGTGAGGACTCTTAAAACTCCGCAGGTGATTCTTATGTGCAACAAAGTTTAAGAATCACTGATGTAGGTCATGTTGATGTCAGTCTTCACTTAAATCCAACAAGACCCCAGAGCTAAAAAGTTCGCCTGAAAGAAACCCCATTCCCAGGCCTGCATACTGACCTGCCCTGGCTCACAAGAAGCAAAGTGGTCCCTTAACAGGGGCTTCCTGGAGAAAATGTCTTGACCTAAAAGAGTGATTCAGGCTGCAGGGATTTAAGGTAGCTACCAAGGTGAGTTGTTAGGGGCAGATGTGCCCTGCAGAGCTGTCAATCAAATCATATCCCAGATGGAATCTAGAAAGCACATTTCAGGCAACCTCTCCTCTGTGCCTCCAAAGGAACTATGGTTGCAGGACTCACTGCTATTGATAAATCTACCCCATTATCCTCTGTGAGGCAGCCTACATTGCTTAGATCTGTGAAATAGGTGGGTAATAGGGCAGGTAATATCACATTTATTTTATTCATACCTGTCTCATTCCACAAAGGATATGGGCTCTCTGTACCCTTCTGTTAGAACTGTGGGTAATTACACTGTATCCATGGGTTGAGTAATTCCCTTTTGCCAAAGATCTACTCCAATGCTATGGAAAAAAACATTTTCTCTTCACTGCCTATGGTCCCAGCCTGGGCTTGGCAAAGACAGGAAAACAGCTGCAAGCACACAAAGCAAACTTTCTCATGTGACCAACCTGGAAAGAGAGAGGCCTCAGCACGTGACACAGACTGGCACCACAGCCTGCACTTGTGACTTGAACTTAGCTGAATTGGACAAACACGTGGGAAACACTGAGGAAGCCCCTGTCAAGAGGCATGCTGCCCTCGGTGCCACAGGGCATGCCTGCTGTGGCAGAGTCGCTTGCCTGCTGTATGACTTCTGTCCAGATTCCAGAATATTTATTAAGGGCCTCAGTGTGTTGGAAATCATTCACTGTAAACCTAACACAAGCAGCACTCCCAGAAAGCTTTTATGCTTAGGGTATGTGGGCAAATATAACCTGATGGGGTTATTTGCTCAGTGTCACTTTTATTGAATTTAAAGCAAAAAGAGAGAAACAGAGGACAGCAAGACAAGGGGAGGCTAGAGTTGGGGGTCCTCACTCTTAGACTAGTTTTCTGGAGGAATTATTGTTTGAAAGGCCTATTGAAAGGTCTTGCACAGACATGAAAACTGGCTAAAGGGGCAGACTGTTATTTTTAAGCTGAAATGATGAACACATTGACTATAAGAGTAGGTGAACAAACATACATATTTGATGTTTCCTTGGGCGATGGAAAGACCGGAATTTGTATTTTCTAGCTGTATCTTTCACTTTGTAATTGTGTTACTCACCTAAACTCTAGAATGACAGCTGTAAAGACTTGTGCATGTTTCACAAGGGTGAGATGAGAATTAAATGATGTGCAAACACTCTACACCTGGAAAGTGGTTTTCAAATGTTAACATTTTCACTTTATTATTACACCTGCCTAGCTTAGTGGAAGGACAGGGCTAGGGGAAATAGAGGTTAGACCTCAATAAGATATAGTACTTTAAGCCAGGTGTGGTGGCACATGCCTGTAATCCCAGGTACTTAGGAGGCTGAGGCAGGAGGATCTCTTGAGCTCTGGAGTTTGAGACCAGCCTGGGCAACATAGTGAGACCTTGTCTCAAAAAAAAAAAAAAAAAAAAAAAAGAAAGAAAGAAATATTAATAGTACTTTAGTTGGGCAGTGAAAATAGGAGAATATCAATAGACATTTGAAAAAGAGGGAAGAGCTTCAGCAAAGGCCAGGGGAGAGAAAAGCCAGTGGTGAATATTAGGGGCTGGTATATAACTCTAATTGTGGGAGGGAAGAGGGCAGAGTTACAGTAAATGCTGGGGGGGAGTAAAATAAAAGGCTTGAAGTAAGCTGTATCAGAATGTGGTCAGCCTTGAGAACCAGGAGGTTTGGGGGAGTAATGGACATTGTTGAAACTTTTCTAATGATATGCTCTTGCTCTCATCTAAGCTCTTGGAAGATACCTAAGGCAGTGACATCTGGGTAAGGATGCATATGTATTTCCACTTCTACACACTCTTCCTGTGTGTGATTAGAGGGATACTATATTGTGAAGGGGCTGTAGCCTCACTGTCCTGTAGAACAGCTGCCAAAGCCACAATGCTCTTTCTCCCAGCTGTAATGCATTACTTCAGAGGCAGCTTTCTCTTTGTCTGGAGCTTGTAAATGATTTGGTTTCCTTCATTCCAGGCATAGAGCTGCTTATCTCTGGGGTTGTAATGGATCATGGAGTGACTTCTTGGTCTCTTGGGGAAGAACAAGTTGGGCAAGTCCTCCTCACTGATAGTGCCCAGTGGATCATAGACACAGGTGATGCGATGAGGGCCCTGGTCCCCAGTGCGGTAGACCACATAGAGAACCCCACACAAGAGGAATGAGGCTTCAGCATCCTGGCTTCTGCATGGGGTATCCCATGAATGCTCCACTCCCAGTGTGCCTGGCTCAATCTTTGTGAGAACCAAATGGCTATGAGTGCCTGGCCCGGAGTGGATGGCCCAGAGCCCATGCTCATCCACAGCCAGGTCAATGTAAGTTGAAGGGGAGTGCTGGTAAACCAATGCTCGGCCTACCCCTCCTGGGAGCAGCATTCGATCTTCCACAGTCCTTTTCTGCAGGTTATATTTGATTATCTCATTAGAAGTCGCTTGGTTGTGAAAAAATAGAAAACCTTTGTAGATCACTTGGCCTGTTCCCTGCCAGGAAAGTGTTAGGATTTGCTTCCGGGGAGCTGGCTTGGTGTTATCCTCCATGAATGCCCGTATGTTTGCAAATTCCCAAACAGTGTTGTTTCTGGATCCAATTAACAAGTACACCTTTGGAGAGTTATAGACAGCATCTTTCATCCAAGAGCCATGTGTGTCCATCATCTTCTTCACTATTTTCAGAGACTTTATGCTCATCAGCATGTTGTCACAGCCTGGCCAAACAGGAGAAAAAGGAGAGGTTACTTTATAAACATGAGCTGTCTGCTTTCTGGAAGGCTCACTGTGCTTGGTAAATCTTCTTTCCTTTCTGGTTTAATACTGGTAGGGAATATTTTCAGTTCTACTGTGACATGACAGTCCTTAGAAGAAGGGTTTCCCTTGGAAAATCCTAGAGTGAAAATGCAACATAGGCATGCATTTTGTTTCCTTAAGAAAAAGGGCATTTAAATCCCAGCAAGAAGCTAAGCCCATTCTTTCACCTCCTTATTTTCACAGATTGTTTTTTCCTTAGTGTCTATAATAGTTATTGTATATAGATCAACCACAATTCATTGTATGACTCAATGAATGAAAGAATAAATAAATGGTCTCTGTTAAGGGACTTGCTATCCAGTTCTAAGAGTCAGCATTTTATTCACTTCAGGATATTAACAGCTATTTGCTGTTTCACAGACCGTGTTCACTGTCTAGAGCACTTGGGATTGACACAGTGAGAATGACTTAGGTGTGAAGACACTAATTCAATTCCATTTACCACGATTTTATTGTACTGTGTACTTAGGTTACAATGTTTCCAAATGGTTCTAAGTATGGAGGATAAAAAATACAATATCAACCCTACACCTCAAGGAGATTATCTCCTAGTGAAGGATTCTGACCCTTAACATGACTACAACATTATAAGAGCTCTATTTATTTATTCATGAATGTATGAATGAATGCATATAGTTAGCAGACACCGGATACCTACAAGGAGCAAGATAATGAGCGAGGTATTATGAGCTGGGGTTATGAGCATAAACTGGGCATGGTTCTTTCTATTAAGTCCAGGACTAACTAGAATACAGGGAGTAAAGTGGAATTTTAAGAATAGAGAAAGGAAATGTCATTTGATGCAGGGAAGAATCTGTATTTGATTTGGTCCTTGAAGGATAAATGGAGTTGAATACTCAGAGAGGAGTGGAGAAGCATTCCAGACAGCAAACAAAACCACTTTCAGGAAAGTACTCTAAGATTAGGTAAAGAAGTATAGAGTTTAGACCAATACAAGCTAATGTTTGATGTTGCTTCAAACTAGATATATAAAGCAAAGTACAGTTGACCCTTGAACATGAGTTTTAACTGTGCAGATCTCATTAAAATGTGGATTCTCTCCTGTCTCTGCCAGCCCTGAGACAGCAAAGCCAACCCCTTCTTTTCTTCCTTCTCAGCCTACTCAGTGTGAAGAGGATGATGAGGATACAGACCTTTATGATGATCCACTTCCACTTAATGAACAGTAAATCTATTTTCTTTCCTTATGATTTTCTTAATGACATTTTCTTTTCTCTAGCTTACTTTATTTTTAGAATAAAGTTGCAGTGCTCTTTCTCCCAGCTATAACGCATTACTTCAGAGGCAGCTTTCTCTTTGTCTGGATTTGTAAACAAGAAAGGACCAGATTAACATTCACAATATGTGTTAATCGACGTTTACCTTATCAGTCAGTCTTCTGGTCAACAGCAGACTATCCGTAGTTAAGTTTTGGAGGAGTTAAAAGTTACACATAGGCTGAACACGGTGGCTCACACCTGTAATATCCCAGCACTTTGAGAGGCTGAGGTGGGCAGATCACAAGGTCAGGAGATTGAGACCATCCTGGCCAACAGGGTGAAACCCTGTCTCTACAAAAATTAGCTGGGTGTGGTAGTGCGTGCTGGTAGTCCCAGCCACTTGGGAAGCTGAGGCAGGAGAATCGCTTGAACCCAGGAGGCGGAGGTTGCGGTGAGTCAAGATCATGCCACTGCACTCCAGCCTGGCAACAGAGCGAGACTCCATCTCAAAAAAAAAAAAAAAATGTTGCACATAAATTTTCAACACACAAGGGTCAGCACCCCTAGCAACCACATTATCCAAGGGTCAATTATAGTAGATTGAAGCCATCTCTATGCCTGGAACCTTAAGGGCCAGGCTAAGGAATTTGGATTTTATTCCATAGATGGAGAGATACTGAAGTTTTTGAGCAGGAGTGAAATAAAGGCTGTCAAGACTGTTCCACAAGGTTAAGCTAGAAGTCCTGTGTATGATGGACATTTGGAGTGAGACCAAAATCAGGGAAATCAATTAGTAGATTATTTCTTTAATCCAAATGGGATGATAAATGATCTAAACTGGAAGAAAGGAGAAAAGTGAAGTAAAATGAAGGAGTTACAGTTTTCTAGCTCCTCAGTGCCACTTCAGGCTACTGTTCTTCCCACCTACAGCAAAATCTCTTCCTTTTTAGTATTCATGCTTTGTGTCTCATGCTGTCAACTCCTCCCAGTCTAAATCATTGGCAATTCTCCAGGACACTACCCTATATGCATGGAACATGTCCACCTCTTCAATTCCATGGAAACTTACTTTTAAACCACATTAGCATCCTTCTCCAGGGTTATACTCTGATCTCCCATTCCCAACAACTATTCCATATCTGAAATCGAAAACCCCAGTATCCCACTCACCATGGTTATTCTTCCATTCCTCACTCCTTTGCTCATGCCTTCCAGTCCCTTGGCCTCTACTTTCTCCCAGGTCATCAGCCCTCTCTTGACCTTGCTTTCTTTCCTATACAGCCTAAACCACTGTAATAGCTCTCTCACTGGCATTCTCACCCATCAACCCCTAGTTATGCCACAATATCCACCCAACAAAAGTCCCTGGCCCAGAATGAGTTCAAACATCTGCCTTGTCCTGGAGTTGAGTGTTGATGGAGGAGAAAATCTCACAATGGTGTATATTGGTGCCACTAGACATAAGGGGTCTCCAGTGTCAACTGAGCCCTAAATACCATACTGGTCTTCATGGTTAGCCCACCATCTTCACATAATACTAATATCTTCCCTACCCCGCCCCACCCATCCTGCCCTGGCCAGTCCCTTCACCAACAGCAGATTAATTCCTTTGAAAAAACAAATACCATTAGACATGAACTCTTTTCACTTCCTGTCTCCTCACTTATAAACTTTTCTTTAGTTGTTCCCCTGTTGCTACCCTCACACACATCTTAGAAGAAACTGTGTCATTTCTCCTGTCCAAGACTAATACATTCACTTGTACTGTGATCTCATCTTTTCCTGGCTTCTTCTAGACTTCCTTGATGAATTATCCCTTTTCTGTTATCTTTAATTTCTCCTTCATTACTAGATTCTTAGCCTTAGCTTATAAGCATCTAGCCTACATTAAAACAACAACAATTCACCTTCAACTAGGCACCTTTTTCTAGTTGCTTCATTATCTCTTTCCATCATTTTATAGCCAGCTTCTCCTACAGAATAGGCTATACTCTGTATCTACATCTTCACCTCCCATTCTTTTACTTCACCATAACTCCATAGAAATTATTCTTTATAATGTTACCAGGAACCTTATAACTGAAAACTCAAATAGATATTTTATGTCCATATTTTACTTGATCTTCCTGGAGCATGGTCAGTTCTTCCTCCTTGAAGATTGATGTGAATCAGGATAAGATCAGCTCTACTGGTCATTTCAAGAAAAGTCGGTCATCAGTTCTAATTTTGGACTTTTTTTTGGAGACAGCTTTTTACTCTATTAAACAGGCTAGAGTGCAGTGGCATGATCTTGGCTCACTGTAGCCTCAACTTCCTGAGCTCAAGCAATCCCCCCACCTCCTCCTCCTGAGTAGCTGGTACTAAAGATGCATACCAACAGGCCCAGCTAATTTTGTTTATTTTTTGCAGCAATGAGGTCTACTATGTTGCCCAGGCTAGTCTCAAACTCTAGGACTCAAGTGGTCTTCCTGCCTTGGCCTCCCAAAGTGCTAGGATTATGGGCGTGAGATACCACTCCCAGCCAATTGTGGACTTTTGTTGAGACTGCCTTATCAGGCCATCTGTTGTGAGGTGAGCAATGTCATGGAAGCAGGGAGTGGTGGTCTTGCTAGGAGCATGAGGAAACTTGCAGGTCTACCGCAAATCCTGCTGAAGTTTCTATTATAGGTAGGAAAGAGTAGTCTTAATAAGAGCATAGGAATCCTGGGCCTCCCTCATTGACTTCTGGGTGTGAGGTGGTGGAATGATAGTTAGATAGAGTCTTTAAAGGACAACTGAGCACTCTGAGGAGCTCCTTCAAATCCTTTGAAAGGCTTTGGTATAAGAAGCTGGATGTGGACCGGACACCGTGGCTCACACCTGTAAGCCCAGCACTTTGGAAGGCCAAGACAGATAAATCACTTGATCTCAGGGGTTCAAGACCAGCCTGGGCAACAGAGTGAGACCCCATTCCTACAAAAAAATGCAATAATTAGCCAGGTGTAGTGGTGTGCACCTGTAGTCACAGCTACTCAGGAGGCTGAAGTAGGAGGGTCATGTGAGCTCAGGGGGTAGAGGTTGCAGTGAGCTGAGATCATGCCACTGCATTCCAGCCTGAGTGAGAGAGCCAGACCCTGTCTCAAAAAAAAGAAAAAAAAAGTTGGATGTGTCAGCAGGTTGTCATTTTCTTAATCAGTGCTTGGGTTCTTAAAGCCCATTGAAGGTCAGCTGGAGTCATAGGACAAGAAACAGAATGAAGGAAAGAAGACTGGACAGGAGGAAGAGAGATGCACAGTGAGATGGGTCCCAGAGGTTCGGAGGTAAGCAAGCATGTTAGCAAACTGCTTGTTATATGCCAGCTGTGGGCAGCAGTCCTATCACGCTTTCCATATGACTATCACACTTTCTCATCTCCCTGCAAGCCTCCATCATACCCTCGCATGGAGATCTTCCCACTTACTCCATGAGAAAGTAGAAGCAATCTTAGGAGAACTGCACCATCTCCTGCCTGGACTACTGTGGCAGCAGTCTCCTATATGGTGTTCATGCCTCCATCCTTGCCTCCCATAGTCCAATTCCCACAGCAGCCAAAGGCATGCTTTTAAAATGTAAGTCACATCATGTCCTGTGTCTGCTTGAAACCCTCCATTGGCTTCTCATTTCACTCAGAGTGAAATGGATAAAGCTTGGGTCTTTACCTC